CGGCAGTATCAGTGCGCATGCGCGATACACCAGTCTCATCCCGGCGGCATCAGTGCGCATGCGCAATACATGAGCCTCCTCCGGCGGTATTAGTGCGCATGCGCAATACATCAGCCAGCCTCGAACTTAACTTCTTCCACAGCGTTCTGCGCAGCTACTCCCTAGCTGTGATCTGCGTGCGCCTCAGGCTCGCGGTCTGCGCATGCGCCTCAGGCTCGCGGTCTGCGCATGCGCCGTGGCAGCTGCCTGCGCAGGCTTCTCTATAACTCACTACGCATGCGCTGTGGGTTTGGTTGCCAAGACAACCACTGGCTTCTTCTTCTTAGCTGGTCCCTAAATCCGGTGCTCAGCAGTCCAGCGATCCCAGGGACACCCCGGCACCATGATCTCCGTACTGGACGCCATATGGGAGGACCGGGATATCCGCTTCGACATCACACCCCAGTGAGTGGTTAACGGATCTCGGTTCGGCGCTGTGACGTCACTAACAAGGGCCCCATATTAATACAGACCCCCCCCCCACCCCAAGGCCGCCTGTCTTAGAACTACAACTCCCATGATGCATTGGTGCGCCTGAAGGGAGGATGATTGCTGTGTGACAGACACTAACAGGGTTACTCACTAAAGTGGGAATTCAGTGTGAACTCTGCAATGCTCTCACTTGGTCTGTTTTAACCTAAAAAAAATAATTTAAAATCCCACCAATCCACATTATGGTTATATAACCCTGTGGAGTTGCCATGTCCGCCATGTTTTCCTGAACACGAATAATGTGCGCGAGTCGACATGCAGCCAGACAGGCAGTGCATAGAAAGTGCCACCTTGCAGCGATATACTGAGTTTATATGCTACTGCTGCCGTGAGTGATTCATCGTTTGATTTCCTACCCGCAGTGTTCGAATTATCCGTAATACCGAGCATTACTTTTATACGCCTAGGGAAACACGTTGAACCTGGAAACCTAAACCGGCACGTCGCTGGCATCTCGTTTATTAGGCAAATGGTTTATTTGGGAAAAGTCAGCTTATTTGAGGTCTAAGTAAATTCGTCGCTGCTTTTGTGCTTGGATAAAATCTTATTTTGATTATTAGAGAGGGCAAATTCTGCAATACACTGTGCAATGACCGATGGGTATAAAGCAAGTAAGACAAAACCAGTTTGGCAGTTACAGACTGACAGAATAGGTTTTAAGAGCCGTCCCAGCAAGCTTGCATGATAGATGACCGTATTCATTTCCTGATTTTTGTGTGGTGGATTCCAGAGGCATTGACCAGTGTAAGACTATAATGGGAAATTAGGGAGGCTATATGTTAATTTGAAGCGCTCACAAAAATACAAAAGGAATTGTGCTCCTGTAAACTTAAAGGGACACTATAGTCACCAGAACAACTACAGCCTATTGTATTTGGTCTTGTGAGTATAGTCTGTCCCTGCAGGCTTTTTGTAGTAACAAAAGGCAGTGTTTACATTACAGCCATGGATGCCTCCAGTGGCCACTCCTCAGATGGCTGCTACAGGTGCTTCCTGGGGCAGTCCTGCAAAGTGTGCAGCACTGACATTCAGTGTCTTCACCCTATGCATGCAGACACTGAACTTTCCTCATAGAGATGCATTGATTGAATGCATCTCTATGAGGAGGTGCTGATTGGCCAGGGATGTGTTTGGCTTGTGCTGGCTTTGCCCCTGATTTTCCTCCTTTGACAATTTCAGCTAATCCCATGCTTTCCTATGAGGAAGCAATTGTGATTGGCTGTCATCACTGCTTCTGATGATGTCAGCAAACGAGGCAGATCAGAGGCAGAACCAGCACTGGAATAAAGTTAAAGGACCACTATAGGAACCCAGACCACTTCAACTCAATGAAGTGGTCTGGGTGCCAGGCCCCTCTAGTGTTACGTTTGTGTTCCTGACCCTATAGTGTTCCTTTTATAAATCCAGGCTAATGCATATAGATAAATGCAATACAAGTCCCTTGGTATGGTGCAAAGGCCCCTAATCGGCAATACAACTATTTTTGCAACCTTGTCCAATAGGGTCCAGATGTTCCCTTTAGTTGTTGCTCCCACATTCTCAATATGAAATACAAAGAATGGGGAGGCAGATATTTGGTTAATTACCATATAAATTGGACTTTCACTTTTTAAAGTAGTACATAAAGCACACTGTGGCAAACCTAGCCACTTTATCATCCAAAAGACTGGGGTCATTCGCCTAACTTTTCCTGCAAAGACCATAGACATTCATATGCCAGTTTCACAAACAAGATTGGGATACATTGTTCATTAAACAAATAAACGGTTGAATGGGAGACCACACAAGGGAGTCGTGTGTCTCCAATTAACCACTGGCAACATTGGGGAAACCGCAAAACCCTAATGATTTAATGGGTGGCCACTGTTCATATAATTGAACACGTGGCAGCGGCCATCTTTGCTCGCGAACGCCCAGTGGTGTTTGGTCGTCGAGTGCATGGAGTCAAAATTGGCTACTCGACCTCGCAAACACCGCTGGACTTCCATGCCGTTCGTATGGACAGATCCATTTGTCAAAAGAGAGTGTCATTCGGTGAATTCAACCCCTTCGTGGCTGGCTGGTCCATAACTTCATTCGAATGGCTTTTCTATTCGAACGATTGGATCTGAGTGGTATTTCGCCAGATTGTGTGTTCAGATCCCAGCTGTTCAATTAAGGGTCTTTCGGGAAGTTCAGATGTATATTTCGTGAGTTATGTATTTTTATGTTATATTGAATACTTTTCTGTACGGAGAGATAATGTAATTAAAGGTGTACTCTTACGCAATTATTGCTCCAGTACAGAAAAGGATGATGGGAAATATTATTACATGTTAAGTTTTCCACAGAGTCCACCAGGGAACAGCCCCTGGAATGTCAGTAAGGAAACCCCTTGCATGGGGATTTGTATATAAACGGTTGTGGTGCAATAAAAGCTCAGTTGACTCCCAAAGTGTGTGTCGTCCAGCTCTTGGGAAAAAGGGGATTATACTTGCGCTACCTGTATTTTGTATGCTGACTAAAGACTACCAGTGGAGATATCATGGATAATACTACTACTCCACTACACACACCAATAGTTCAATACTAATAAGTTAAACTGCCACTTCACTTAGTTGAGCCTCTTGGTGGTAGCTGTTTCTCCAGGTAGGTACCGGAGCCCCTATTGGTTCTCAGTAGAGATCAAGTTCCTGCAGCTTTGTTTTATTTTTTACATTAAGACAGCAGACAAACTTAAATGGACAACAGGCTGAAAAAAAAGAAAAAAACCATCTCCACATGCATAGGCATAATTGAAACTACAAAACAACATGAAACAGTGGCAGGACACTAATGTCAAAACAGCTCCCAAACCCTAACGTGCACAACATAGAGCGGTATTCAACTTATCTGCTATGCCACAGGCACTTTGCCACCATCACTCCAATGCCTTGAACTTCTAAGGGGATACCCTGAATGTAGCATAGTGCAGACTACATCCCTCAAATCCCCATATGACCACGTCTGATAGCTGTGCCCATGAATGCAGCACTGTAAAACTGCAGCTCTGAAATTATGTACACCACCAAGCTTGTAATATATGTGCACCTGCCAATATGACTATGCTGTGGGCCATACAAACAACTGGTCCCAACACAATATCAGGCCTGGAGGGGCTGGGCTGGGCTGGGCTGGACTGGACTGTGCTCACACAGAACCCTAACATAAGCATATGCAACAAGGGATACCAGGGCCGACCCACTACTAACAGATGGGTCTTTGCCCCCACCCCCTGCACTAATACATGCCACTCAGACTCCTTACTATATGGTATTGCTGGTTGTTTCTCTACCTCCCCCAATTTGTTTCAATGCACTGTTATGTTGTTACCTTGTGCACCTCTTCTTGGTGTAACCTTGACGTAATTTGACATATTTGTGCTCACGGTTATCTTAACATGATTGTACCAGTTGATGTGCACGAAAAACTGCAATAAAATGCGTCACTAAATAAATTTACCTTCCTTCGAATACCAGAAATCACATGTCACTTACATGAATGCACACATTTTTTAAAGTAAAAGAAAGCAAACATAACTCCTGTATAAATACAGACAAATCAGGTATTTGATAGTTGGTAACAATCTATTACGTTCTGCCCAGGGAAGTAAGAACATGTTGGCATCGCATTCAGCAGCATCAAATGGGGATTATCTGAGTCCTTGGTAAAATGTCATGTAATCTTAGCAAGGCCAAATTATGTGCTTAAATCCCAGCATCTACTTTATTCCAAGACAGGCATCTGATCTCTCTAAGGAATTAAACAAGTACCATTACCCAATGCTATATCTACCAATATTACTAATGTTTAAATAGTTTAATATTTCCAAATATACCGAATCACACTTTTGATAAAGTGAATGACTTATGAATAAACACAAGCTTGTATGTGATATAAATGTTTTGTAAATTCTAAGAATTATTTTTTGATAATTATTAAGTCTGCTTTGTTATCTCACAATATATAGTAAATCAATCTTTACCGATGGATTAATAATCGTTTGGGCCACAAGCACACACTATCATTTTGCTTTTAATATTTTTTTTTATTTTTATTTTTTTAATGGCATGAATATCCAGGAGTGGCTCAGTTTAAATTGCATGATGCCATATTCATTCTGTGCCTTGGGATGTTTAGTTTAATTAAAAATCGTTTGTTGCATTGCAGCCTGACAGGGACCCAATTAAGAGGGGTAAATTCAACTGATCTCCTGACCTTCACCAAATGATCAGGCACACATGTGTCCTCTTGTGGCAACGACATCAAGGAAATTATATTGGAATGTGTGCTGTGTGGCCATTATTGTAATGCTCATCAGACAATTTGGGAGTCACTGAGTATGACTAATCTTGAAATTGTGTGAACTATATACTGGAATTCTTTATGTACATAATATAATCACAATATTTTGGTCCCTTTTTCAGGCAAATGAAAATGAGACCAGGAGAAGTTCTGATAGACTGCTTAGATTCTATCGAAGACACTAAAGGGAACAATGGAGACAGAGGTACAGGTTTTTTTGGGTTATTCTGTGAAGCTTTCCAGGGGTTCATCAAGCTTAACACAATTTATGCTTGCGGAATTAAACATTCTTCTTTTCATTTTGGATAATTGCTGAATATTAGTACATCAATGAGGGGGCACACAGGTGTAGCCAAGAGTCAAAATACTAAACTGGCTTAAGCATATGGTGCTGAAATTAATATACTCATAGATAGTGGATCCCTGCTAATCTCCGTCCTCTTGTCATGAGCTAACATTTTCATCCAATAATTTTCAGGTCTGGGTTGAACCTGTGTATAAACCTCTAAATGGTCTTGTTTGTACGTTTTTAGTATTTGCAAAAGAAGGCAAAAAACCTAGTCTGAAGCGCTTCTAATTTTGCAACAAACTAGGAAAAAATTCCTTCCTGAACCCAAAATAGCAGTCAGATGTCTCCTTGGATCAAGCAGCTATTACCCCACTAATTAGAAATGATATCCCTGTATGTTATGTTTTTGGACGTATTTATCCAATTGCTAGTTAAACATCTGTATGGACTCTGATAAAACCACCTCTTCAGGCAGAGAATTCCATATATTTATTGCTCTTACTGTAAAAAAACCTTTTCTTTGCATTAGATGAAGTCTCCTTTCTTCCAGCCTAAATGTGTGAACTTGTGTCCTATGTATAGCCCTGTTTATGAATAGATTTCCAGATAATGGTCTGCCCTGGCCCTGAATATATTTGTATAATGTTATCATATCCCCTCTGAGGCACCGTTTTTCCAAACTAAAGAGATTTACATTTTTAACCTTCCTCCCTAACTAAAATTCTCAATTCCTTTGTTCTTATTCTTCATTTCAGGAAGACTTTTAGTGACAAATTTACGCATAATTTGGCATTCTCTAGCTCTACCTCGTGTGAATCTGGGTGAGTATTATGTCTTTATTTTCATTTATATGTCAACACTCCATTTATGGTGAACAATTCACTTGACATAGTCCCAAAGAGGACCTTAAGGGCAAGGAACAGTCTGCCTACCAGTTAGTGTGTAGAATCAATAAGGTGGATTTTGTATATTTATTCATTCAAGAGCTTATATGTGTATCTGTGTAGAGTAAGAGTGTGTGTGAATACAGAGGTGTACAGTGGCGGATCCAGGGGGGGCAACGGGGCAATTGCCCCCCTCCCCCGAGATTCTCCCCTGCCGAGATCTCACTCCCCGTTCCGCAGGCACATTGCTGGTAGCCGGCAGCAGAGGGAGAGAGGACCCGGGAGCTCAACCTACAGCTCCTCCGGGTCCTACTCTCGCTATCATGGAGTGTTGCTGCGGTTACCACGGCAATGCTCCGGAGCTACGGGCTAGAGTTCACTCTCACCACTGTGACCACCAGGGATGGAGAAATGTCCCCCCTCCTCCCTCAGTAAAGGTAAGAAGGGAGGGGGGACATAAATGTATTTATTTTATTAAATAAAAAAAGAAAACCTTATTAAAAAGCCTGCCTACCCTCCTTCCCCTCCATACACACACATTGCCCCACAAACAATGCCCTCCCATACATACACTGTCCCCCCCATACACACACTGCCCACACACACATACTGTCACACACACACTGCCTCACACACATACACACATGCCCCCACATACAGTGCTCCACACACACTGCTGCCCCCCATACAAATATTGCCCCACACACTGCCCCACATGTAGTGCCCCCCCATACACACTGCCCCACACACACACATACAGTGCTCCCCATACACACACTGCCACCCATACATACATTGCCCCCCACACACTCACATACAGTGCCGCCCCATACATACACTGCAGCTCTCTCACACACACTGCAGCTCTCACACACACACTGCCCTACACATACACTGCCCTCTAACACACACACTGCAACCCTAAAATACACTGCTGCCCTCACGCACTCACACACGCACTGCACCCCTCACACATACCACTGCTTCTATGCCCTATAACCCAGCAGACCCCAGGTAAGTTGTCAAACTGTTCTTAAACGGTTTGACTACTTACTCTGGGATGGGATCCTGGCACTACTGGCACCATAACTACTACACTGAACTGTAGTGGTAATTGTGCCTGGATTTAAATAATCTACAAGTGCCCCTCCCGAGATCAGGCTCTGGAACCGCCACTGGAGGTGTATCTATCTGTGTGGAGTGACAGTGTGTGAATACAGAGGTGTATTTATCTGTGTGGAGTGACAGTGTGTATGAATACAGAGATGTATCTATCTGTTTAGAGTGTGTGTGTGTGTGTGTGTGTGTATACAGAGTTGTATCTTTCTGTGTAGAGTAATAGTGTGTGTGTCTGTGTGTGTGTATGTGTGTGAATACAGAGGTGTATCTATCTGTGTAAAGTGACCGTGTGTGTGAATACAGAGGAGTATCTATCTGCGTGGAGTGACCGTGTATGTGAATACAGAGGTGTATCTATCTGTGTGGAGTGACGGTGTGTGTGTGAATACAGAGGTGTATCTATCTGTGTGGAGTGACGGTGTGTGTGAATACAGAGGTGTATCTATCTGTGTGGAGTGACGGTGTGTGTGAATACAGAGGTGTATCTATCTGTATGGAGCGGCAGTGTGTGCCTGTGTGTGTAAATACATGGGTGCGTATGCACCTTTTCCCTAGCAAAGTTACTTTACACTTCCTAACTATTTTATTTAGTAATTTCTCCATCCCATTGTGACCTCTCATCATGCCCTCCCTCTCCTCATCAATGTGTCCTTCCCTCCCTATCCATGCCAGGGAGAGGAATTGGTATCCCACCAACAAAAGAAAATAAACTCCTAAGACATGTTTGGTTTGTTTTGCTTTCTAAATTATTTTTTTTTTTTGCATTTTTAGCTGTTGGTTACAACTGTATTATAAACATTACTTCAAGGACTGCTAATTCAGTGAGTATGATGTAATTAAAGGGTTGATACAGACGTATTATATGGGGAATGCCATCAATAAAATCTGTAATAGAAAAATAAAGGTGCTCACTTCTTTCACAGGTTGGCAAGCAATTCACTGGAATGTCATATAATTGTTTTGTTTTTGTTTTTTTATTATAGTCTTCTCCTGTTTTTAGATGTCCACTCCATTTTGAAAATATGTTCTGAATGATAATTAGCTAGCTAGGTTTTTTTATGAAGGTCCCATCAGTTTTATATATATATATATATATATATATATATAATTTTTTTTTATTTTTTTTTATTCCTGAATGTGTAACACTGTGTACTTTGGTCATTAATGAAATGTATTATTTCATATGATTTGTCAGGTATATAAGGGGAAAAAAATTAATTTGATTTAATAAGAGACGTGTTATTAAGGGAGTGTTTTCCAACCATGCGGTGCTCTGTGTGGTGCGTGTTTTATGACATTTGGTTTTATATCAACAGAAATTACGAGGTCAAACGGAAGCACTTTATATTTTAACAAAATGCAATAATACACGTTTTGAGTTCATTTTCACAAATGCTGTCCCTGGAAGTCCTAGGCTGTTCACATCTGTCATTGCTGTACATAGGTAAGTCTATTGCAGATGTATTGACCATATGTTCACCATTTCATTTTTTAATATCCTAGCAATTCCCTGATGTCTGTAATTATTCACTAAAGTAAGCTTTGAAAAAAAATAAGAAAAAAATTGTCAGCCATTACGAGCAGCTCGAGCGTTAATGGGTTCAATGTTAAATATATTTAAAAAAAATTCCATCCCATTTCTTTTCCTCTCTAAAAATTATGCTTTAAGGGGCAGAAGTTGGCATATGTTGGTGGTTGTAGGTTCTAAAGCAGAAAGAAATAGGCTGTAGGATCAGATGGACCCGATGGAGGATATTACAGCTGTTGGGTTTAACCAGAGTCTATCCCAAGCCATGTTGCTAACCTCATCCCATCAGGGTTATGATTTACAGACAGAAATTAGATGGTATAGAAAACAGGAAAAACCAAGAAGCAAACTCGTAGGTAGCAGCCAGTGACACTGGGCAGATAGTGTAATTTATACTTGCTAGGGCTGCACATTCACTCACCAGTTGATGGTGGTGAGTGGGAATTTTGAGGCCTAATATTTACATATTATATGTTTGTGTATTTTAGAATATGGTCAATAAGTTGGTAAATATCCAGTTTCTATATTTTCTAGAGCCTATGAGACCTCTAAAATGTATAGAGATCTGAAACTAAGAGGGGCACTGATCCAAAACAAACAGCTGAGACTTCTTCCCCGGGAGCAGGTCTATGACAAAATCAATGGCGTATGGAATTTATCCAGTGACCAGGTTAGAACGTTGAAATATTGATAACTGATCTGATAACCTTTATCTGATTCTTTCCCTCTCATTTATAGGCACAAGAATGGCATTGAGCCATGAGCCATGTAACCAGAGACGTTAATTTTATGTGTTTTTAGCTCTCCATTAAACTAACAATCCCACCTGTAAAACAACATAGTATGTAATATTCCTCTTAGTGGGTGCCCATTGATAGATCACCTGACGCTCTTATACTATCGCAGGCCACTCAGCTAACCCTTCCTCATACTGCAATGCAGAGATGCAGGCAGAGATGCAATAAAGTTTAACAAGTGAAGGTAAGTAGGTGATCGAAATCTCCTGTCCCCCCATAACAACTTAAATGAGCTGAATTTGTAATGGGGTGGGAGTGTTCATTTAATGCAATTTACAGCACTTCTAGGATAAAAACTTTGAGGTTTTTGTTTTTTTGGAGGGGCTACTCACAGCTGACTGAGCATATCAAATCATCAGATCTTAAGAATGAAACTTTGTCTAGATGCTGAACTACAAATATAAAAGTTTACAGGCAAGGTATACAGAAAATATGGTTTAAAAGGTAGAATATTACATTTCTGTTAACTCTTCCCTAAAGGATTACATACTGGAACAGTTATAATAGAAAGTGAATAAAAGGGACTGGAGCTGATCCCCCTTCAGTTCTTTAATGTATGAAGACAATGTAATTAAAAATGTAAAATCTTAAAAAATGTATGTGCTTTTATAAAGAGTTCAAAACATAGTTTTTCCATTTCATGAAACAATAGTTTCATGCAGGTCCCATGTACTGAAACTTTTTACTTTCACCATATGTTATTATGTAGCAGTCATGCATCATATGTACATAGTATGCAAATATCTCTGGCCAACAAAAATGTATTTACCTACGTTTCATTTTCCTTTTTTTAGGGCAATTTAGGCACTTTCTTTATAACAAATGTGAGAATTGTGTGGCACGCCAACATGAATGACAGCTTTAATGTCAGCATCCCTTATTTACAAATTGTAAGTTTCTCATCATTATAAGTGAGTAGATTTTAAACATGTTGTTCAGTCTGGGCCTTTGTGTTGGCAATTGACTTTTGGGTTGTTTGAGGTTTCGCACTTTAGTTCCCATAAGAAATATGATGGAATCAGAAAGTCAGAACTTTTAGAAGATTAGAAAAAGTGGTGCAAAGTTTTAAACATGGGACAACCGATGGATATTTCCTTAATGATTATTACCCCACATTTATGTTAGCAACACCTTTATTAAAATCCACACAATGTCCACTATAGACAACGTAGAGAAAGGAAGCATGCATTTGCTGCAGAAGTGCTTTTGAATAAAGCTCTTAATTATCTTAAATAGGAAAACATATATGCAGTCAGTGTGGGGATGGGATATAAAAAACATATTGTAAGAAACAAAAATGTAAACTAAGAAAAGTGTTTAACTATCTATTTTGTTGTTTACAATTAGCGTTCCATAAAGATCAGAGATTCAAAGTTTGGCTTAGCACTTGTGATTGAAAGCTCCCAACAGGTAATACAATTTATTTTTGAATATGGAAAAATAAAGTTGCACTTGATGTATTCCAAATCTGCAGTGTTAAAAAAAATTAAAAAAAATACTCTAAACCTAGTGGGCACAATCAAAATAAAAAATTGTAGTTAATCATAGATAAATAAAAACAAAATGCATATATTCCTGTCGAAATGATAGAACTAGTGCAGTGAGCCTCCAAATGTGTGGAATAACTTGATGACCGTTTCGTGGGCTGCCTTTACTGCCGTCATTGCATCAATCAGGCGTAACCGTCAATAGCATGTAGGAATATGCATTTTAGCAAGACTAAAACAATCAAACATGGAAATCTGGACACAAGCTTCTATTAACAAGTCGTCAAACTTTCTGACCTTTATTATTTTAAAGGATTACATATCTGCGGTCCTAAAAACGTGTCATGAAAGTCGTGAGTGGCCCAGCTAATGATATGTATGTTGAAAAAAAAAAAAAGATTTTTCTAATAGACTGCTAGAATATTCATCAGATGTCAAAGTAGTTATGAAATATTAAAGAGATTGAATAAACAAAGTTTAACCCCTTAAGGACCAAACTTCTTGAATAAAAGGGAATCATGACATGTCACACACTATAGTGATCCTTTAATGTATGTGTCTTGCTAGCCAAATTGCTCTAAAACATATATTTTTGATCTTTTACCTCTGGCATTGAAATAGAGCACAACAACCACTATACTTGTAGTTTTTACCTCTATTTCTGAAGCCACAAACACATCTAAGATCTAGGTGTTTAAGTGCAGGGATGTGTGCACTGGCCACTACTGACCCCCCAAAGGGACCATTACGGCTGGTGTTGTAGGAAAAAATTTAAAATTTAAGACATAAAAAAAAATATACACCTCTGAATTTACCTCCTTAAGAATCAGTTTTCTGTCAGCCCTAGTGCTACCTTTGTTCTGGGTGAGAGTGCTGCACATTTGCCATAAACCTTTGCTAAGCAAAGGTTTATGGTGTATCTACTTATGCCGACATGTAGGCATGTTTTTCATGGAAATACTATTTGTAGCTTCTGTTAGCTTGCTGGGAGGATTCTTTCACATTTTTGTTCTGGCTCTCTGGTAGAATGCAATGATAAAGTTTATAGAGGTTACTTATGGCTTCTATGACATTTGTGCACATGGCATACTCTATATTGTGTGGCCATGGTAAATATGAGATTTCCCCCTCCTCCTTGTAATGTCACACAGTGGGATATGGGCTTACAGCTGCAGTTATTTTTGCAAGTTGCTGCAGCTGTAATGATCAAATTGAAAAGAGATGGGAAGAGTTAATTTTATAACCTATGTAAGTATTATAAGATGTCTTGGTTCTTGGAGTGTTACCATAATCCATTTTACGAGCTGACACAGACCTTTCTGGTGTCAAATCTACTTTAACCCAGTCCTGGGTTTCATTTCCTGAATATTTGCCTTCTAGAGCCCAAATTTCAGAGTTTGCAAATTTTAATGACCACATATACAGATATGCCCCAATATTGATATTTGACATAAGCATAGCTAATAAAAAAACCTACAACTGTATTGGAGGAGCAGGAGGAGGGGAGGGTGGGGGGTATTTTTTATATTAAAAAAAAAAAAAAAAGCAAACAAACCGTTGGAGAATCAATCAATATGTTTAGCTATTCTCATATAATGTAGTAAACAACAGATGGATCAGCGCCAGGTGACCAGCCAGAGAATTATGTTTTGAGCAGACCGCAAAACCAAAATTTTGAGGCTCCCTCAAAAACCTTCAAATGAAAGGGGTATACACAGTAGAACAGAAGTAAGGTTGCGCCACAAGTAAAAATAGTAAAATACTGATAATCTAATGGTAAAAGAAACCAATCAGAAACCATAAAAGTCCAGTATATAAAATGGTAAAAGTAGTATATACAGCGTAAGGTCCTGTCTTTATCATTTTTATACCTCATATTTTGGACTTTTTTACATTACAGTAAGGTCATGTCTTTATCATTTTTGAATCTCATATAATGTGTTGTTTCCCCTGCGACTCAGAGTGGTGGGTATGTTCTTGGCTTTAAAATTGATCCTGTGGAGAAACTCCAAGATTCGGTGAAGGAAATTAATTCATTGCACAAAGTTTACTCAGCAAGTCCTATCTTTGGAGTGGAATATGAGATGGAGGAAAAGGTATTTTTTTAATATTTTTTTATGTAACAATTTGCATTATGCCCTGGAATTGAAAATGTTCCATTTCAATAAAAAAACTATTTTCTATAATTCCATGCTAGATAATTCAGTGTATGAAAGACACAAGCTGCGTAATGGTGACCTTACATAGTTGTTATAGGAGGCTCTGCTGCAGTTGGGTACCTATAGCCATAATCTGTAATACAGCTGTTTGCAGAGTCCATCTCTCATGACTTTTAACCTACTAAAAAGATTGTTGGATGAGGGTCCCAACTGAAGTACAACTATTATTTTGCTTAGTTTTTAAATATTTCCTGTTAAAACAATAGAAATTGTTATTGTGATTTAATTTCTAACTCTGTGTTGCTCACAATGCCTCTTGACATAGAAACATAGAATGTGACCGCAGATAAGAATCATTCGGCCCACCTAATCTGCCCAGTTTTCTAAATACTTTCATTAGTCCCTGGCCTTATCTTATAGCTAGGATAGCCTTATGCCTATCCCACATATGCTTAAACTCCTTCACTGTGTTAACCTCTACCACTTCAGCTGGAAGGCTATTCCATGCATCCACTACCCTCTCAGTAAAGTAACACTTCCTGATATTATTTTTAAACCTTTGCCTCTCTAATTTAAGATTATGTCCTCTTGTCTACATAGTATAATGATGTAATTAGGTTGCACATTCAATTCTGTAATCAAAAATGAAAAAAGGAAGGAACCGCTCCAGTATGCTGTGCAACCACATTTATTGAAGAACAAAGATATTTAGCAAACGTTTCAGGCAACAAACCCTTTCTCAGTACATCTTGTCCTCCATTTTTCGTTTCTGATTTTGTGTACCCATTGATGGAGTGTGGGGCATAGCAGCACCTCAGAGCCTATTTGATTATTGCATTATTTAAACTGTTTGGTGGCAGCTAGGTAGCCCCAGCCTCATGTCTAGTATATTCAATACCTTAAAGTGGAATTCTGACCGTTTCATATTTATTAGCCTCAAGCTCTGGAAGAACTCACAGTGGAACATGTTCAGGATGATGTTGAAATAGAACCTGATGAACATACCGATGCGTTTGCGGTAAGATCATTTTGAATTCTGTATTATCCTATACAGACTTGTGTCTCATGCAAATCCCCACAAAAAAAGTACAATCTATAAGAATAAATAATTTGCAATCATAGTTATATTTTATGAATTCTAATACTTAGTCTTTTATAAGGGAATAGGGAAAAACTAACACGAGTTCAATGTTTTGTTCAAGTAATTTCCCCTCTATTTTCCCATCTCTTCCTCTCCCTTCCCCAGCACTTCTATTCTCCGATTCCCATTTAACAAGTGGGAAAAAAATAAAACTTAAAATAAAGATAAAAAGTAATATTTAAACAATAGATACTGTACATAGGCAAAAACAGAGTGGCAATTGGGTGCCAGCCCCCCTAAATGAATGCAGTCTACTTATTATCCTTTGCTGTTACAACTTGTTTTCTATTTGCAGTCAGACTATAAAGTAATTTCAGATATTTTACTATGTTTCCTCCACCCATAGCTTGTATATATTCACATTGGTTCTGAGGGTAGAGCTATGTCCTGAATAAACAAAGTCTCTGCATAGTACTTTCCTTTGATACTAAATCAGATTTGTTTTAATAATTGCAGGCATATTTTGCTGATGGGAACAAGGTGAGCTAATTTGTTTTATATCCCTCTCTTTTATCTGGTCATGTTTTCAGATCTTAACTTTGACCTGTTTTAAATTCCCCTTCTCTAATAAACAGCAGCAAGATCGGGAGCCTGTGTTTTGTGAAGAGCTCGGCCTTGCTGTAGAAAAACTAAAAGATGGCTTCACTTTGCAAGGATTATGGGACGTGATGGTCTGAGAATGATCTAAATCAGTTTGAAGTCTTTTCAACTAAATCAATTCAACCCACCGCCGACCCGTTTGTTAATACAGCACTACTTTTGCAGGATTTAACTGTACCTGTAGCACTGGAAGTGGTCAACACAGTAGCGCAGTCATATCAGCAAACTGTATTGTGATTTTACACAATTTGTCCGGAAGGTCACAAGCCTCTATTTAATGTGTTAACAAATATGTGAATATTTAAAGGGACACTATAGTCACCAGAACAACTACAGCTTATTACACTTGTTCTGGTGAGTAGAATCATTCCATTCAGGCTTTTTGCTGTAAACACTGTCTTTTCGGAGAAAAGGCAGGGTTTAAATTACAGCCTAGTGATAACTCCACTGGCCACTCCTTAGATGGCGGCTAGAGGTGCTTTCTGGGGCAGTGCATGCAGACACTGAACTTTCCTCATAGAGATGCATTGATTCAATTCATCTCTATGAGGAGATGCTGATTGGCCAGGGCTGTGTTTAACTTGTGCTGGCTCTGCCCCTGATCAGCCTCCTTGACAGTCTCAGACAATCCTATGGGGAATCACTGTAATTGGCTCAGACGACCACTTCTGATGAGGTCAGCAGACAGAGGCAGTACACAGGCAAACAGTGCAGAGCCAGGAGCTGCAAACTTGAATACAAGTAAGATTTTACTTTATTTAGGGAGGCAAGACTGATGAGGGGAGCTTGATGGTGATTTTAACACTATAGGGTCAGGAATACATGTTTGTGTTCCAGACCCTATAGCTCTCCTTTAAGACTAGCTTTGAAAAGCTTGGTTTACTTTAACAATGTTCAGTTCAGGCAATGCTGACATAGTGGCACTCCATAAACAGTGCAATTCTGCTATTCACACTACCAGCAAATTTATGGATGAAATGTTGTTGATCATTATAGAAAAGTAAAATGGCTCTGGATAATTTCTCTTTGCTCTTCGTATAACGACACTTATAGCAGTGCTGGGCAGTGAGATGCCTGCATAGCAACATTATTATTGTAGCCATCACAGCTCACTCTCAGAATTTTATGTACAGCTGTATGCATTTCCTTTTGAGATATACTATTTTAAATTATTTTGTAAAATAGTTTGTATTTAGATAACAACTGGATTTTGTATTTATTCTATATATTTTAAAGTCACATAAGACTGGTATGCTATAATGCCTACTAAATGATTTTATATGCTTACATGAATTTAGTAAAATTATATGCACCAATTTCATGAGTTCTGCTAGATATAACAGTGATTACTTATTCTGGTGATTTGGTAATTGAACATAGTAGTGATAAGTGTTTCACAAACCAGAAACAGCACAGACCATAGTGTTATTTGTATAAATTTGGAATATTGGTTACCTGAATTGTAAAAATAAATGTTCCCATTAAAATATCTGCCGGTTCTTTGATAAGCTTTTTAGCTATAAAGTTCCATGTGCAGTTTTGTTTCCAAATTTTAGTGTGAACTGCATTAATGCTTTGAAAATAAATGAGCTTTAGATTTTCTGTTTCCGCAAATGTTAAAGGTAAACTATAGTGCCAGGAAAGCAAGCTTGGTTTCCTGGCACTATAGCTTTTTCCCTTCGTCAAGGCCCTCTACTCCCCATGGTGCAGTAGGGGTTAAAAATCCCTTCTGTCACTCACCTGGGTCCAGCGCCGATGTCCTTCAGCACTGGCTTGAGTCCGCCTTCTCTCCTCCCCTGCTGTCAGCTGGCGGGGGAGACCTAATGCGCATGCGCTGCAATGGCGCCGCTCACATTAGGTCACTGCTTTCCTATGTGGATTCCAGTAATGCTGTATAGCGTTAGGACATCCAGCGTTATTTAGGTGACCAAAATTCGCCTGAGCACCTGGAAGGCCTTCTAGTGGCTATCTGGTAGACAGCCACTATAGGAGGAATTAACCCTAGCAGGTAATTATTGCAGTTTATTAAAAACTGCAAAAATTACATGCAGTTAAGGGTGATGGGACACTGCACCCAGAACTCACTGAGCTGAAGTGGACTGGGTGCCTATCAGTGGTGAAACTACCAAGGCCGCAGCTGCGCACGGGCCGTCACTCCAGGGGGCCCGGCCGCACTGCGGACCCCTGCGACCGGGTGCCTACCGCCATGTGTTGCAGCCCAGGCCCGCACGGTAGAACCACTGGGGCTGCATTGAAGGGGTCCATCGGGTGGCCCATGGTGTTAGGGCCACCCGATGGCAAAGTATTACCAGGAAGCCCGGTCAGCGCTGCAGCGCTTTAACAGCGCGGCCGGGCCCTCTGTGGTGAGATCAGACGCTGAAATGAAGGGACTGCCCCACTTCCTCCCAGCAACCAACCGGGAGCCGAGTGGGAAAGGAGGGAGCCTGAGCCATCACTGGACCCCAGGGAAAGTTACCCTCCTGCACCTAAAAGGTAGGAAACAGGAGGGTGACTAAAACATTTTGCGTGTGTGTGTTTCTGTATTTTTGTATGTGTGTGTGTGTCTATATGTGCCTGAATGTATGGGTTTGTGTGTGTACGTACGTGTGTGTCGTCTGTGTTTGCATATCTATCTGATTGTCTGCATGTGTGGGGGGAGGAGGACATACGCCTCTGGTACCTATAGTGTCCCTTTAAATCCATGCACTGCTTGAAATGATGGCTGGCAGAGATTGGAGAAAATAAGGGGCTGTAATGTTAATGGCACACACACACATACAGACCACGTCTATTCAGTGACCTCTTGGGAGGCTGTTAAACTGGTGGCGATTGATGCTGAATACCTGCTTTTCTGACACTTGCAGCTGCAATTCGTTTTCTTTGAAAAATCTTGTGTTAGCAGTCATCTCACAGCATGAAATGTTGCAGTGCAGAATATTGCACTGCAACATTTATTATTAACAGTTATTAAACAAATGGAGAATTAACAAGGGAATTGGAAAAATAGCCCAGTTTGTTTTCCAGCTTGATCAATTTTGACAAGAAATGTGCAGTTTTGTTATTCAAATTTCCTGATTTCTCGAACAAATATTTTACTTTATTTATTTTATTTTTTTCACATTCTTTATTTTTCACTCGATAGGCATGGCAAGTATACATTAACATTTTGTGCTTGCGCAGAAGCCAACATGAATATCATACTTGGTAACATAATGCTATGTAAGTAAACAATACAAGCCATTCCTTTATCCCGCTGAGACTTGCCTCCCATTGAGGGCTTTTTTTTTTTTTTCTTTTTTTATTCTTCATGTTCACATCTGCAGTTACATTGCGGTATTAGTTTGTGTGTTAGCTCTCACGGTAACTGCCTGTTTTTGTTTTATGAACATTATAAAATATATATATATATATATATATATATATATATATATATATATATATATATATATATATATATATATATACACAGAAATAAGATAACTTGCTAGCTTAGATACAAGTGAGCTTTGACCTAATATGTGTGCGAGTATATGTAAGTTGCATTCTGAGTCACATTATCCTTTGTCGGTGAGTTTCCATGAGTCCCTGGTCGGGTCAGGTCTCTGTAATCTGTTTTTCTTGACTGGCTGAAATTGGTGCTTTCTGTGGCGTTTGTCCCCTTTTTTGGGGGGGTGGGGGGTGGCGGGTATTATGTGTCAAATTGCTCCCATAGTGCCCAGTTTTTATGATAAGTGGTTGTGGTGTCTCGGACCTGAGCTGTCAATTTGTCCATCAGACAATTGTCTCTAATTTTTTCCTGCACTAGTGTGATGGGTGGGGTGCCGGATTTTATCCAGTGTTGCGCTAGAGCCCTTCTTGCTGCAAGATTTAGCATGTTTAAAAGTCTCTGATCATATTTGTCCAGTCCGTCTGTCGGTCTGAAGAGGAGGCATGACCATGGTTCTGCTGTTAGCCTTTTTTGTAGTATACGGGAGTTCATGTCTGTCACCTCTGTCCAGTATGCTTTTGCCTTGGGACATTGCCACCACATGTGGATGTATGAGCCTTTTTCCCCTCATAGTCACCAACAAGTATCCGTGGGGCTTAGTCCCATGTGGTATTGTTTAACCGGGGTGGTGTACCACCGGAATAGGGTCTTGTATGTTTGTTCCTGTAGTGCAGTGCAGATAGATACCTTGGAACATGCGTCCCATATGTCCCGCCAGTCTTCCCCATCCAACCTCTCCCCCAGGTCAGCTTCCCATCTGTCTGTGTAAGCTAATGTGCCCCATTCCCCGGACTCTCCTCCAATGTGGCTGTACATGGTAGTAATCAGTTTTTTGTGGGTATGTGTTCGTTAAGGCATATGCGTTCGAAAAAGGTCATTTGTCTGGAGAGTGCTGTCCTAACTTCCATGGTTTGGGCGAAATCCCGGAGTTGTAGATAGCGGAAAAAGTCTCGGGTCGTTAGGGGTGCTAGGGTCTTTAGGTAGTAGTATGTTATTAACTGCTTGTCGTGGTATAGATGGATGTATCTCCGTGTCCCTGTGGCCTTGGCCTCTATACCTGTAAAGGCCGTGTTACTTAACCCCGGTGGGAACGCTCTATTGCGGAATACCGCTGCCATGGGGAAGGGGTTGTTCATGAGGTAGTGTTTTAGGGCTATTTTGTCCCATATTTCTATGGAGTTTAGGATTGCTGGGCAAGTGGTTCTGGGGAGTACCCTTTGTGCTTTAGGTGACCATATTAGGAGTTGCGGGGAGTCGTCGCCTATCAGTAATGTTTCTATGTCTACCCATTGGTGTTGGCCAGTGGGGCTATGCCAGTATGCTATTTGTGCTATCTGTGCTGCTACATAATAATGGTAGAGGTGAGGTAATCCCAGTCCCCCCCCCTCCACTTGGGGTTATATAGCACGGCTCGGGCTATCCGGGGTTTTTTTGAACAAATATTTTTAAACTTAAATAACCAAACTGTGCTGAAGCCGATAAATTGAAGAATTTTCTAAATCAGTGTTTTTTGCAAAATGCTGCAATTCTGTTTTTCATAAAACAATTTAGAATTGGTGAAGAAACCACCTTTAGTATGCGAGCCCAGAGCGTGGGGTTTGTATGAGTGACAATGCCTGGTTAGTGTTTGGACTAGCTGTCGATGCTTCTGTTATTTCAATATGTTACCAGCTGAATAAACAAAATGCACAAATCCAAATCTCTTTTCACCTTACGGCAGTCCCACTTCATGCTTAAATAGGCTTCCAGTAAACCTTTCTATTTTAAAATAGAATAAATTCTCATGATATTGTCCTGCTGATTGGCACCGCTGTAGTGAGTATTAACAGCTGGGACAAATCAGAACCTGGGATATATACATTAAACCAGAATTTTTGGAAAATTGAAAACTTGAGGCTAAAATAGCATTTCCAGAAAAAAGGTCACTTGGAGATTTGATCAAGTTTAGTTTCAGACTAGAAACTTTAATTTAACTTTCCGTTGTGTATTCCCAATTTCTGGCTTCGTGAATAAATCTCCTTGGGGTGTTGTTCACTTAACTCCAATCTGTAGGAAATTGAAATCAGTATGGCAAAAATAGCTGGTCTGGAACAATTCTACAACTCAGCTATAGTCACAATTTAGCTATTTTAAAACGTTTACTATTCAGATTTCAATTCTCAGCAATCTGGTGTTTAGTAAATAATCCTACTTTGTTTAAAGAGAGACTCCACTGTCCAAATACACGTGAAAAACAAGTTGCCAAAAATTTTTAAAAACTCCAATAGGAGGGGGTGTTTTAAATCAAAAGTGCTGAATCTGCAGATTATAAACCAGCACCTCTACACATGTAAGTCGGAATACCCTCCTCCCCATACACCACACTAAACAGTTTAAAAAGTGGCACAAGTGAAAAAAACATTACCCTTAGTGGGGCACTGGATAAAAAAAAAATAATAATAATAATTGCTTACACCTCACAACCTTGATATACACATGAATATATGTCTAATACATTTCAAACAAAGAAAAGGGCAGAATATAGTGCAGATGGTAACTGTACACTGTGCGAGTATATGTAATAAATTAGACAACTACCATGTAGCGCCTTTATGCTTTTTAGGGCAGCATCACCCCACTCCTTCGTTCTGATGAAAACTAAAGACCGAGATAAAAGAGAGAGATGACCAATGTGTAGTATATAAAAACACTTTCCTCTTAAACATAAAAAGGTATTAAGTTCACCTTTCACAAAGCCTTAAAATACTGGCTGTGAGGGTAACAGGTAAAATACTCCTGGCACGTCACATCCACCACCCTGACCGGACTGCTCCACATCTGCCTTCAATCACTCTTTCCAGAAGAGTGGCTCTCTTCATTGGTGGTCCGTGGCGGGCCGATGCCTCAACATGAATATTCGCAGCACGTGGCCACTCCTTACAAGTGAATGGCCTCTCTGATTCCAAAGGTAACAATGGGCAGAGCGCCCTCAAGCTCAGGACACCATATTCGTTGGGGGGATATAGAATTTCTCCTTACTTCAAGTAAGCTATGGGAAATTGTGTATACACTGATCAACCACAACATGAAAACCACCTGCCTAATGAAGTATAGGTCCCCCTCACGCTACCAAAACAGCTCTGATGTGTCACGGCATGAACTTTACAAGACCTCTAAACATTTAGTATCAAATATTAACAGCAAGTCCTTTAAGTCCTGCAAGTTGTGAGGTGGGGCCTTGATGGATCAGATTTGTTGTTCCAACACAGCTCACAGATGCTCAATCGAATTGAGATCTGGGGAATTTGGTGGCCAAGACAGCATCTTGAAATCTTTGTCACATTCCTCAAACCATTCCTGAACAATTTTTGCAGTATGGTAGGGTGCATTATCCTTCTGAAAGAGGCCACTGCTATCAGGGAACACCATCGCTGTGCAGGGCTATATGTGGTCTGCACCAATCTCTACATAGTTGTGTACATGCAAAAGTAACATCCACATGAATGTCAGGAACCTAGATTTTCCAAGATACTTATCCCCTCAGAGAGACACACATTCACACACATGGATATGTCAGACACACACTCCATGAGACATACACATGTAGGCAATGCCAGACACACAGAAATATATACAGCCAAATACACATTGTCACTGTATGCAGGGCCGGACTGGCCCACCGGGATACCGGGAAATTTCCCGATGGGCTGGCATACTAGCAGGTCAGGGCATGGCCGCCTAGTGCGCACCAGCCCGCGAGCCGCACCACACGGTGCAATTACAGAGTGACAGGCTGGCGGGTATGCGCTCCCCTCATGCCGGTCACAGTATGTAGCATGGCCGAGCAGGCAGACCGCAGGAGCTCCTCCACCACGATCTGCCTACTCGGCCACACTACAGGGAGAGCTGGGGGTGGAAACTAATGGGACAATTGGGGGGACTAATGGGACACCTTGGGGCTGGGGTAGGGCAGAACTAATGGGACACCTGGGGGTGGGGGACTATTGGGACAGCTGGGGGCTGGGAAGGGGAACTAATGGGACACCTGGTGGGGGGAACTAATGGGACACCTGGTGGCTGGGGGGACTAATGGGATACCTGGGGGGAATGGGACACCTGGGGGCTGGGCTGGGTGGTGGGGAACTAATGGGAGAAAGGTAGAGCTGGGATGGGGAAAACTAATGAGACACAGGATGTGCTGGTGGGGGGAACTAATGGGATCACATAGAGGGATGGGAGGGGGATATAAGAACACGTGGAGGGATGGGAGGGGGGTATAGGGACACATGGAGGTCTGGAACGGGGCTAATGGGACACATGGAGGTTGGGAGGAATGGCTAGTGGGACACATGAGGGCTGGAAGGGGGCCTGTTGGGACATATTGAGGGCTGGGAGTGGGCTATAGGGACACATGGAGGGCTAATAGGACACATTGAGGGCTGGGAGGCTAATGGGACACACAGGGGGCCCATTGCACACATCGGTGTTACTGAGACACATGGGAGGGCTAATGAGCCACATACAGGGATGGGAGGGGGTATAGGGAATCATGGAAGGGGGCCTAGGAACACATGGAGGGCTCGTAGGGTGCTTTAGGAACACATGGAGGGCTGTGGGGGGCTATATAGATGGTGGGAGGGCTAATATGACATATATAGGATAATGTATAAGTGAAAGGATTATAGAATATGTGGGGGAAATGTTTGAGATGTTTTTCTTATCTGTAACTTTATTATTTGGTAAATAATTTATTATTTTTTCAAGCTTTTTTGCCCAATCAAAATGTTCATGTTTGCTTCCAATAATCCGTTCACACCGGCAATTATGTATGCACGACTGCCAGGCTATGTAACCATACCCGACAATCATACATAAACGATTAGTATTATTTCAAATAAAATTTGTTTATTGCAATTTAATTTTATTTGCAAAATATGCCATAACTACCGTCATAGAGCTCATAGCGCAGCGGCACAGGGCGCCATGACACTGAAAGTCTCTGAATGTAGTATACAGAGACTACCTTTCTGTATCCAGCGATGCAAGCCTGCCCTTCAATATAACTACAATGCCTTATACACACAATGCAACCCCTATTTGTTTCCCTTTGGATGTTAGCGGGGTCTCATGTTTAAATTTAGCCTAAGGCCTAACAAAGTCTAGAGCCGCATCTGTTTTCTGCATACCCGTTTTTCCTGTTTCCAACACATCAAATTCCAGAACTGACTGTTCACCTAGTGCCTAATCATACCCACGCCTTGACAAAGGCTATTGGTTTTAATGTTGTGGCTGATCAGCATATACACACGTTAGATTTTAGAAAAAGCTTCTATGTCATTTCCATCTAGGAAATGTGTACAAACTGTTCCAAGAACATATTCATAACAACCAAGTGTTGCTCTAACAATATATAATCATTCTTTATAAAACCGTGTAATCTGTATATAATGTTCCAGTCACTGGTGACATCCTCAGAGCTGTGTGACGTTACATGCTTGCAGTGGACAGAGTAAGTCATTCTATATTCTTACAGTGGGCCTAAGACAGCTGTCATGCTGTCAGATCACCAGGTACCTTAACACTTTGAGAGCTACATGTTTGCTCAGCTCAGTTCAGCTGTTATTTTAGCAGCTGACTGGCCTTTTATTTCTGATGTAGTGTGCCTTTACTGTACAGTTCCAGAAGTCTCCAGAAAACCTAAATTCTTAATCTGTTCCTGCATTTCATGTGACGAATGTGTTTTTAATTGCATCCAGAGGATGCAGTTGCGTGTAGTTTGAGAATCCATGTTTTATCAATGTTACAGTAGCTAATTATAGAAACATTGTCAGTGTGCAGCGCGGTCAGCAAACATGACATTTGTGTCCCAGAGAAACTTCCACTGCTTCTAGAGACATATCATGCTACAGTCACTTATTGTAGGAAGCCCTGCAGTAACCCTTTCAAGCCAAAAAGACAAAACAGTACCCTGTGCCCTGTAGAAACTATTTACATATATCGCTTACCAGTTAGGCACACAAAAGTTAAAATCTTGATTTTTTTTTTTTTGTTAGTTTGCATTTGTGTGCTTTTTTATGTTTTTGTATAGGTTGTTAAAAAGAGCAATCTTGATATTATACGTTGATAAAATCTTTGATAAATGATAAGCAAAATAAATATCTGGATATGAGTCTTCAGAACCTGTTATATTATATGAAGTTATTGTCTGTTTTTAACCCCGAATTGTTTAAATAACACAACCAAGGATTTGAGGATTTTTTTTTATAAAGAAACCAGTTCAGTTAATCATGTTGCGCATCATAATATTATGGGCTAGAGTTTCAAAGGAAAATAAAGCCAATTCTGGTGCAAATTGCTACAATATAAGCAGCAGTAGTGATATATATAATATAGCACTCCATCACCCAAAATACAATAGTTGTGCGTTGATTGATAATACCCGGAATATGCACATCATGTCTGTAACTCACACGTGTCAGAGCTACTTCTGAATGTGAACTTCTAAAGACTAAAAAAAGGATTAAATGGAGTTTGAAAACTTTTCATAATATAGTAAATGATGAATGAGTATAGAATTTGGCAGTATTTATTGGGCACAATCATACAATCTCAAAAATAGAAATAAACATGAATAAAATTAATAATGTTTCTTCAAAAATGTTATCATTCCAGTATGTTATCATTTCAAAATCTGCATATAAAATAGAGCAGGGACGTTCTTAGATAGAATGGTGACTTTTCATTTTGTATGTCTGCGGTCACTATCACAAAGATAACTCTCCTAGTAACCAAAATCTCCAGTTGTTTCTTTCAATCTGTGACAGCTGCATGAGCAATTCCTCTTTCCAAATAGACCAACCTAAATTCCATATTGTAAGAGCCTGTACCTATATTTAGCTGGCAGGCTTAAATTGCACAGACTTTAAGCTCGGTAGAGTTCACAGATCAGCCTTTTCACAGCTTGCCTTGGGAGCT